GGCGTGATACTAGTCACGTGACCTCGCTGACGCAACAATATTCTTTCTTTGTAAATGAACATCTTTCTCTATCAATTTCAAGATATAGAAGGTCATAGTTACATAACTGAATCAGTGATTCAACCCAGTATAAAATAGAACCATCTGTTTGACAGAATTCAAGACTCATATACGTAATTCCCACAAAAACTTAACTACATGTCCCAACATTGTAAAGTATACTCCAGCAGAGGAACAGCATGCGAGAGGATATTTTTATTGTGAAGGGGACTTCTAGCGAATCGATAGGGCACCATTTGGGCGTTAGAGATATGACTCTAATTGAAGCTGTTTCGTGGCAGTGTGGTACGATATTGTAACTTCAATAAAGTTGCTGGAATTAAAGAAACCAGTGTTGTCAAGTCTACGTATAATTGAATTTCTTAGTTTAAAAAAGACGCTTAATTTTTTGAGAGTCACAGATTGCAGTTTTTTTCAGCTTGTTTTATTCTGAGGTCGCTTATTTGGGCTTTGTGTGATAGCTGACTTCAACACACAGTAAACTGTTTGTCGGAGTGGGTTTGGTGATTGACTGGGTCAGTGAGTAGCCTATACATCGTTCTATACCCACTCCTTTTTAGTTAAAAACACATCCACAATCGTAAACTTTCTGGCCCACTTAACACAGTCTATATTCCAATTGAGCCCAAAAATTGCCATTTTTACGGTAAGCCATAAAACTGAGAGTAGTTTTGTAAGTCAATGCTGCTTGTATCAGGCTCGTTCCTAATGGCAATGCCGCTTGTTTTAGGCTTGTTTCTAAAGGCAATGCCGCTTATTTTAGGCTCGTTCCTAAAGGCAGTGCCGCTTGTTTTAGGCTTTTTCCTAAAGACAGTGCCGCTTGTTTTAGGCTCGTTCCTAAAGGCAGTGCCGCTTGTTTTAGGCTTTTTTCCTAAAGACAGTGCCGCTTGTTTCGAACGACAATGCTGTTTATTTTTCTTGCGAGACTTGAAAACATTGAAAGGCATTAGTAACTCCAGTGGCTCTGCCAAAAATAAAGCATCAGAGTCTACCGACCCTACATTACTGGAAGCTACAAAAGATGGCGACAAACCTGCGAAAGTTGTATGGTAATTTGGCTTGAACAAATTGCTGCAACCCAAGCTTCAAAGATGTCTCGAACATGCCGTACTAGGTTTATTAACAATATGAATGGAAAGGCATCCTGATCTGCATGATTAATAAAACAATAACACATGTTATACACGTTGTATGGGTAACCTTTCAGGAATCTTTCTTATAGGAAGACAGTTAATAATACAGAATATGTATTATAAACAAAAATTACTTTAACACTTTTTATTCAATACAATTTATCATTTTACAAAGTAAAAATACCCCTTAACAATGATGCAAGACATATGTCAAATGAAATTACAAAAATGCATCCTTCTTTGAAGGAAAACCTAATTAAGCCAAGGAAAAACAAAACAAGAATACAAAAGAAACCCTTTAACAAAAACCAACGAGCCCTCCAGTGGCACAGCAGTATGTCTGCGAATTTACAACGCTAGAAACCGGGTTTCGAAACCCGTGGTGGGCAGAGCACAAGTAGCCCATTGTGTAGCTTTGTGCTTAACTTCAAACAAACAAAGAAAACAGACCAATGATATGGAACATTCTAAAATCAATAGTATTGAATAAGCCATTACTAAATATATGCACACACACACACATTAAAATGAGTCCTTTAATTACAACTTTAATTAAACCGCTGAAATTGAAAGAAAACACAATTCACAAGCAAATATAAATACTTACAAATGACTAGAAAGAGTGCACTCAAGTCAATAAAGAAAAGAAAATGTACATAAAACTAGTAATGAGCAAAAAAGCATGCAAAATAATAGCAAAATGAAAAGAAACAATACATGAACATTTATAACAATAAAAAGAACCATTAAAATTTATAGCAGAGACGGCTGGTATGGGTATTAAAATACAGTACAAGAACAACGTTTCGACCTTCTTAGGTCATCTAAGCGAATAATGTATTTTGGTCCTTATTCTGACATTTATCTGAATCACTAAGTTCTTTAATTACTGAAGTCATTTATAGATGATACAGTACTTTTATTTTAAGATATATATATATATAATTGTTTAATATCTAACTCAAAACTGCCATTCTCGGTGCTTTGTTCATTCTATTAGTGACTGAGAAAAACAACCATCGTCAATTACCTCATGATATATATAAATAAAAGCCCAGAGCTTAACGATTTTACAGTATTAAAATATGTTTCTCAAGTTTTGTAAATCTTGCGTATCCAAACCACCCAAAAGACGTTTAAGTACATATATACATAATTTTACAGCAGCTAAGCCATGCTCAAAATACTAATACATAGTAAAAAATTATAAAAAAGGCATGTCATGAAATATGTATTTACAGCAAAGAAAATTAGGCTTGGGCAGATAATGAAAGTTTAACAGTATACAACTTAAGTACCTGTAAAACATTTAGTATATTACAATAAAACATAAAGTATATAATAGCTCAAAATCGTGCATAAACTTTTATTATAATTTCAGATCACAAAACAGTTGATCAGGTACCTGATTTAAACAAAAATTAACTGTGGAAGGCATTACTTTACGACAATGGTTTTGCTATGTTCTAGCTATCAATGTAGCAATTCCCTGTAGTGTGCAATGTTGTTTATTTTATGTTTGAATTTCTATCACATTTTTTGGAAGAATGACTTGAAATCGATTGTGTAATTTTGCGCTGAAACAACTCCCCCCCCCTTTATAATATCGTTGATATATAAAATATCACTAATAATTTTAACTGGAATTTTCTCTTAATCTTGGTTTAATAGTGTACTAACAGAGAAAATGATGCCAAGCTTACAAGTGCAATAAACTTTTGATTTTTAATAATATTCACACATTAAAAAAGCTTTCAAATCATCTTACAATCCAAAACATTCTAAATGAATGAGATCTACAATTTGAGATAATTGTTTAGGGTTTACACTCTAATATCGATAATCATATACTTACGTACGATCGAAAAGCCTCCTATTCCACTGATAAAAACAAACAAAGTGAGTTTTAGTAAACTCCACATATTTTTAGTCTTTCCTATAGAACTGTGAATTATATTTGTAGCACACTCGACCTTAAATTGTAGACTCAACGGACTTTGGAACACGAAGTGTACATATATAATCAAATAAAGTGATTAACTTGCACTTCTTAGCTAATTCTTGATCCACACGAAGTGTACAGGCTCCAACTGACTTGTTGAATGATGTTATATCATTTACAGTCGTACAGCAATGTGCTTCCACGAGATATGTATCCGTGTTGCTTCTCAGAAACTAATAACCGGAAATATGTAAGATGTGATTTCCTCCTTCCCTCCCCCTCTTTCCTGTCGTCAAATGTTACTGCTTTTTGTATAAGTTTATCGCGTTCCGACATATAAACGTTTGCTAATCACCCTTATCCCATTTTCAGTAGGTTATTAGCATTTGTTAGTTTGCTTGATTTTTAACACAAAGATAGATACTGGGTTACTTGCACTCTTGACCCCGTGGAGAGTCGAACCTCGTATGTTAGCGTTGTAAGTCTTTACACTTACCGCTGATCAGCAGGAGACTTTTTATATTTTTCGTTAGTATTAACCCGTTAACTGTGACTGTTCTAAATGCGAGCGAAATGTTTCCAAGCCGTATACGGAGGCGGACCGTACACTATACGGCGAATCAGCAGTCAATGGGTTAATAAAACATTTTGAAATTAATAATTATTTAGTATGGGAAAATATTTTTTATGTTATTAAGTTACAATAATGAACAACCTACAGAACTGAAGTTATTGCTTCTTTGTTGTTTTTATTAATCTAATTATGTAGTTTATTTGTTTTTGTTTTAGCGCAAAGCTACACAATGGGCAATCTGCGCTCTGTCCACTGTGATGAATCGAAACTATTATTTTAGTGTTGTAACTCCCTAAACTTACCGCTGATCCAGTGGGGGACTTTACTTTTGAAATGTTGGGAAGGAATATTATGTCACGAAATTTGCGGCATGATATTTTGTTTAAGATATTAGTTGATCGTTTTAAATAAGACCAGAATTATCTTTGAAAATCATAAACAACCATTTTTTTTCCCTGAGATTTTGCTATAAAATGTCACTATAAAATATCTTTAAGATCTTAAAGTTTTTAAGTGTTGATTTTATATTGAAAATCACGATGTTTTAGCAACTATTTGAAAACGTTTTAATATCACTTACGTATTTCTGAAGCCGGGCGTGACCTAATTGTTAGTGTACCCTAACGCTCAATACAAGGATTCATGTTTTGTGATATTATCGCCGCTAAAACACGCTCTGCACACTGTGCCATAGGTGTGCTATAACAATGACGGTCAGATCCTGCTATTCAACATGTAGCATGGAAAGCAATTTTAGTGTTAACTGTTTTATTTAGCTCGATAAGGTGAGAATATCGAGTTCTCCACGAGTTTTCAACATTTTTCATACCTACATATTTCTAGTTATGTAAGGACGAACGCAGCCCAATGGTTAGCGTGTCTGACTGTGGATCCTAAGTTCGCGTCCCGTTACCATTTACGAACAATCGCATTGCGCACTTTGAGGCTAGGGGTGTGCTATAAGAGTGATGGTCAAATCCCATAATTCGATCAGAGTAGCCCACGAGTTGTTGGTGGGTGTTTTTCCTCTAATCTACCACTTCAAAATTAGATAAGCTAGCGCATATAACCCTTGAGTAGCTTTGTATGAAAATTCAACAACAACAACAAGTTTTGACAAAAGAACGTCGGGCAAGGAATATGGCGAAACTCATTTTGCTCTAGTTATGTATTGTTTTGGGTGATTCCCCTTTAACGTCACGTGTACTTCCTCCTAAGAAAGACTGCTAGTAAGTAGAACGCCATGTGTAAAAGTAAAAGGTGATTTTTTCCACTGCGGGCCAGATGATACTTGAGGAAGTTATTTGTTATTGAAATGACTAATAGACACTTAAGTAGCGCATGAGCATTGAGATGGATGACGCTACAGTTTTCAATACAGTGATGTGTCCTTTAGTTCTGAGAGTCTGGGACAAGTTATTGTCTGAAGCAGAGTCTAGAGTCAAAGTAGTTGGCCTAAAGCAGAAGTGCTGTGTATTGTCCTTTGCCCTCGTTTACCTTTAGTTTTTCTATTGTAAATTAAGATTACTTTTTACTTCCTTATATTATATTTAGTCTGCAATTCTTAATTCTGTCAGAGTCAGAGCTATTATAATTATTACGCTTATTTGTAAAGAATACCACAGAATAATGTAGTAAGGAGAAAATTTGGTACTGTAACCACGAGATTTGGTTTGTTTTTTCTACCGTGTTATTTTTACACTATCTAGCTGAGTAATAGTGGTATTTCTCTGGAGGAGACTGTGCAATGTTCAATAATACAGCTGATGATATAACACGTAGAATACGTCTGAAAAGATGTGATCCTGCTTTCTGAGCACTGAAGTGGGAATTTTGGTGGTGAACGTTAAGAAGCCACCTGAACTTTCATGTAAGTGCAAGGTTTATGTAGCCTGTACACACAATTAAAAAAAAAGACTTCTACATGTGCATTGAGGGAGTTGTGTTTTTATAGAACATAAAATATGTATCAGATTGGTTTCAACTTGAGTGGAGAAGTCCTTGTTTCAATGGATTTTGCCTGTATTTGGTATTCTTTGACACCGACTATGGTAAATGATTTGACGCAAGAATGGCTGTACAAATTGTGGTGGTTCACCAGTTGTGTTTGTGACCATCTAGGACAGTTTATGTGTTAGTTATGGATTTTGCGCAAAGCTACACGAGGGCTATCTGCGATAGCCGTCCCTAATTTAGCAGTGTAAGACTAGAGGGAAGGCAGCTAGTCATCATCACCAACAGCCAACTCTTGGGCTGCTTTTTTATCAACGAATTGTGGGATTGACCGTCACATTATAACGCCCCCCCCTCCGGCTGAGAGGGTGAGCATGTATCTAGGAGGGTAAGTATATTGTTACGCCTCCAGTCGTTAGTTAATTTTCCGTAAATTTGTTACGACGAAACTTTAGCGACACAAGTCCTTTCT